CTGACCAGTATCTAGTTATAAGTCTAACCTGTTATCTGTCTAGTATATAGTCCATCTAACCTGCTAATCTGACCAGTATCTTAAGTTATAAGTCTAACCTGCTAATCTGACCAGTACCTTAGTCCCTCTAACCTGTTATCTGTCTAGTATTTAGTCAGTCTAACCTGCTAATATGACTAGTATCTAGTTATAAGTCTAACCTGTTATCTGTATAGTATTTAGTCAGTCTAACCTGCTAATATGACTAGTATCTAGTTATAAGTCTAACCTGTTATCTGTATAGTATTTAGTCAGTCTAACCTGCTAATATGACTAGTATCTAGTTATAAGTCTAACCTGTTATCTATCTAGTATTTAGTCAGTCTAACCTGCTAATCTGACCAGTATCTAGTTATAAGTCTAACCTGTTATCTATCTAGTATTTAGTCAGTCTAACCTGCTAATCTGACCAGTATCTAGTTATAAGTCTATCCTGGGCATAGATTCAAGAAAACATGATATTAACCAAAATGACATTAAACAGCATGATATCACAAGAAATGTTCTGTGTTAAGCTTTACTAACTAAAGATTAGACCTGAAAAGCACTCAAAAAAGTACCATCAGATTTCTTTAGAACGGGAACTCAACATACTGTGTGGAAACAGATGTCTGGTGGATGGACAGACCAGCATCATTACAATCGCCCTTATGATCTATAACCAGGGATAAAATGTGTGGGCAAATACCTCGAAACAGATAAAACCCAGAGGTTATAGAAACAATATGTGGTTGATGACTATTGCTCAATTATTATCTCTGTAACATAAAACTTTCTACAAAATCTCTCATTGTCTTCAGAACAGGATCTAGGTTCACAATCTACTATAAAAAAACCTCCATCTTAAGAATGCCATCATTTGGTTAGAATGCGATTGTGCTAATCCTCCGACTTGGTCGTTACTTTGTACCATGTGGTATGAGTTTTCAAAATCAGGTCAAATGTAATACAACTGTACAAGTATTCAGTTCTATATAGAAAAAGTCAAACAGGGGAACTTGCTGGTTTCAATAACGATAAACCTTTGATACAAAGTAATTTGGAGAAAAAAGAAAAAAAAACCAGGGCCATATAGTGTAGCCTGGTGATTGATCTGGATGGATTAATGAACACACCACGTACAAATATAATGTTCTCTCCTACAGGAACATGCTTTACGCTATATCCGTATGTGTGTACTAGCCAAAGAGGTGAATATGAACTATCATCCATAGGATAACTAATACCCCCCCGTAGATGCTGGTAGTTTATACATCATTTTGTGACCTTGAAATGGGAACTTGTTCAAGGTATTTTGCACATACAAAATTTAAGTTGGTATAGCGAGTTTTCTGGACAAGTTATTTCACATAATGTTTAAATATATTTTCAAATCAGATATAATAACTTATAACTAGGTAAAATAAAGCAATAATTATAAGAAATGGCAACTAACAACGAGTTATCAATTTATAACAGTGTGTTAATCCACAGTCACAGTCAATGAATGTTCGATGGCCATGCAAGTTTAATGGAATCTCTCGACCCTTTGGGGGTGAGATAGGGGAATCTCAACCCGAAGGGAAAGATTCTTAAGTTGCCAAACATTCGGCATAGCCTCGTGTTTGGCAACTTAAGAATCTTTTCCCCGAGGGTTGAGATTTCCCTATCTCACCTACAAGGGGATGAATGATTCTTTTTCTCTTACCCCGTTCACCCAATGTGTATCATATACACAATGTAATGTTAACGCTACAGGCTAAATTCAGGGTTGACGTGATGTTGATGGATTGTCGATGTAACGTCATCGTATTGTTGACGTAACATCATACTATTGTTATGAATAAGGAAATCTCCCCCGTCTCAACCCTAGGGTGAGACAAGGATATCTCACACTGGGAAAAGTGTGGATACATCAACAAGGGGAACAGATATTTGTGAACATTCTCCAGGGGAAGGGTCGTTATTCAGGTCCCAAATATCAGAAAAAATCACTTGCTATGTGATTTACCAAATGACTTACATGATTGTATACTTGTGATGTATCAGCCTTTGTATTTTATAACCAGTAAACTGGTGATGTATCGTTATTAACAAATACCCTATTGACTGGCCTCAGACTACGGGCTATGGGGTTTTCCATATATGTCCTAGCATACAAAATAAACTGTTGGTAAATTCTCTTTTTTTTTTGGTTGTGGTGGGAAGAGCTAGGAGACTCATGGGGAAGGGAAACTCATGGGGAGGAGCAACTGTTATTTACATAGAGAGGTCAAAGGTCAGCGGTACAAGTATGTAGTACTGTACTGGTAATTTTACAACACATTTTCTGAAAAGTTTTTGAACTATAACAATATTTTGAGTTGGTGACTGTCCTCTAGTGGGACTGCAGCACAAATGTAACAATTGGATAATAGTTAAAAATACATCAAGTTAAGTACTTCAGTTTAATACTTGTTACAAGTACAACCTTAATACATCAATCCAACCTTAATTATCAAATACGACACTTAACATTATTACTTTGTCAAACAGGGGCTATTAATAAATACTGTAACCTTCACATGTTTTTAGATAATTATTTTCATGCCATTTCTTCCTTTTTAAAATTTATGAAATCAAACATTGGCAAGTCACGACAGACACAACAGACACCAGGCCGTGATTGTATAGTCAATCTATATACAGAGCTGACCCCATTACAGTGCTATAGTTAGGTCCACCCTATCCTTGATACTGTATAGCATATATATATATCTACAGGTAAACACACTGTAAAGAATGTCAGCTATTTATACACCTGAGATTAGATTCAGCCTGTACAACTTTTCTACAGAATATTAAAGTAAAAGTTGTTTTAAAACGGCAGTGTTAAAACAGCTACATCACACAGACTTTACCTTAGATCAGGAAAACTCTTGCAGACTGTCAACTTATGTCAGATCCCGGAAACCCCAATGGCTCATCAATTGTAAGTGGGGCACCAAAATAGGTGGGTTTTTTCAAAATCAATTATCTTAAGCAGCAAATGATTTATATAATTGAGTAAAATATTCTTACAATCATTTTTCATCAAATGTCATCTGAAATAATGATAAATATAATATTTTATTAATAATTTGCTGTTTACTTTGTTTTAGTTTTAGAATTACCCCTCTGCTGGCCTCTTTCAAGGTGTGTAGTATATATATACCTGTATATGTCACGCTTGAACAAATGTCCTCTAGTGGATGACTTCTAACAAACTCTATTTATATGTACAATGTATATGGAACTAAATATTCTGACAGTCTATAGGTTGTAATACCGCAGTCATTTACAAGGCTGTATTAGATTCACATGTACAACTCCTGCAAAATATTTGTATCTGCTCATGATCAATCATTGGGGTTAAATTTGGCAATTTACCATTGGATACCGGTTATCTATAGGAAAATACTTATATAGGCTTAGCCTGTTGTCTTATTCCTTTGTTAATACATGTCCTGTTATATTTCTGATGTAATGCTTGTAGTTATGTTTGTTGGTATCAACAATAAAATATTTTTAATTGAAATGTAAATTTCAAGTCCTTAAGGCATATTTATTGTTGAAAATATAAGAATTTAGCAATTGTACTGGCAAGGATACATGTTCAGTTGAAATAATTGCTATCTATATGGTCAATTATTAGTATAATTGCATTTAATAACTATAAGGGAGTCAAATGTTTCAGCTCCAGAAACATACATATTGAAATTTCCCTTATGGTATCAACTAACCTCTTAACTATAAGCTTATCATAGTTGTCTCCCTTTATACAATTATACACATTATCACCAACAAGATAGGATTTTCATTGGTTGAGGGTCATAACCTTTCTATAAATGCAATATGACAATTCTCTGCAACATCATCATAAATGTAGTTGCAATGGAGTTGTAGTAATTATCTTACAATATTTACATTTTAAAGGTTATTTTTCAATAAACTTTCAAGTTGGTGTATGAATACATCAGCACATTATCAACCTGATTACTCTGTTTATTCCGCAGAGCACAAGAAGTAGTTCTAAGTAGTTCTATTATTAGTGGATGTTACGGTGTCTGTGCTGTTGCATTCAAGTGAGGTGGCACTATAAATGATACCGTTGGAAGCACGTCTAACTACCGACAGAACACAATACATCTCCAGCACACACACAGGCATACACACATAGGGAGATATTAGCCAGGTGGCATAGGACTAGTAGTTAGCGCCTTATAAGGCAGCTCCAGCGAATTCCTCAAAATTGTATTGATCAATGTATATGCTAATTGTATTGCTTGTAAAACATTATATATCTATGTACTGTAAGGGTTTTAAGGTGGCTTAGGTTAGCTAGAAAGGGCGCTATATCAAATGTTGTATATTTATTCTATTTTATTTATTTATTAGATTGGTTTCAATTTGTTGTGTTTTCTCTCAGAATATTTAAATTGAATTGAAGAAAAGTACTTTACATCTTTATTTGTTATTTCATTGCAATCAATGGAAACAATTTATTCATCTTACCAGGACGACATCTCACAATAAGTGAATTGACATCATAAGCTTCAGTAACTTCCGTGGTGTTAGACTTGCACAAGACCGATATTTTAAATATTATCCAAAAAAATATCAATATCGCACTGAGTGTAAATATAAGGATAGAATCCTCTTTTGTTGAGGTTTATGGGGTATAAAACAAATTCAATATGAAGTGCTTCGAAGTTCATAAAAGTTGTCTCAAGACCCATTGAGGTTTATACCCCATAAACCTCATCAAAATAGGTTACTATCCTTAAATGTTTCCAACAAAAACGCTTGCAAAGAACATCAACTTAAACCATTTGTAATCTGTTACTTAACTCATTCACCCCTGAAATTTCATAATGAACTATTCCAACCTTTGAACTGGAAGAGTTCAAATGTGTCTTTAGGGGTGAATGTGTTAAACTGCCTGTACTCTGTTTTGTACTTACATCATCTGTACTTTCCAGTGTCCCGTCCTTGCTGCTACCTTCTGTGGTCATGTCAGACGAACTCTGTTCCTCAAAACTAGGACGATGTACCCCTTTCCTGATAAAGAAAATTTCAATTTCAAAGTTTTGCTAATTTTTTCAAACTAAAAAAGGTTAAATTTTAAGTTCTTAAATCATTTAATACCTATATTACACATATACATGAATTATATTTTTTTATTTAATCTTTCTATTTTCTCTCTAGAACTGCATCTGATTTTTTTTTTTGTGAGATTAAAATTCCCCAATGGCAGCAACAGGCCAAACCTTTTTAGCTCTTAGATTTAATTTATACTATTTATCTATAAACACATGTTCCTATAGGGAACGCAATAATACTAACAAACTAAAAAGTCACTCTTTTTCCAAGCTTTTGGGCTTAGCCCTTCGTCAGTGATTGGATGTCACCAGACCTCTACGTCACATCCATCTTGACAAACAGGGTGAAGGACGAAGGGCTTAGTCCGAAAGCTTTGAAAAAGAGTGACTTTTTAGTTTGTTTATACTACAAAATATGTATTTAGCTCGTCATAGTTATCTCCCCTCAACCAATATATTGTATATTTCCTGGATTTTCACCCACAACTGTGTCACCCATATCAGAATATTACCATTAGTTAATATATCGATTACAACTTATTTTTACATTTAATCTTACAGAAAAAACAAAGTAATCATGTTTTGTGATGCCCTCATCAATACAACTGCTGTCATTATTCTGTTGCAATCTCGGAGATTTTCAGACATAACAAAATTGGAATTCAGTAAATTTACTCAGGATGATTTGCTCTCATGTTAATCAAACTCAAGTTCATTAAAATCAAATCTGGTAAAAACAAGAGGCTCACAAGACCTGTATTGCTCACCTGGAATTTTAATCAGTTATGGCAAAACAGTTTTATTAAACATAATATAGCAAATACTTGTTCATCTACTGTCAACACGACACATGGACATGTCTACACAGTTGATCCTAAAGATACAAACTTCAGGAATTGTTCACCCTTTCACCACTGTAGACCATAATAGACTCATCCAGATCAATGCATGGTCGAGTCTACTAAAGTTGCACAGGGATGAAAGGGTTAGCTGGACTATATGGCCACTTAATTTTGTGAAAGATATGACCTCGTGATATCAGCCAAAATAAATCACCCACAAAAACACCTTATGTTACAGTACACGATTGTCCCATGTTTAAATAATCCAGGAGTGAATTCTTTATCCTGATTACTGCATAAATATAATATACATTGTATGAAAGATAATAACATAATATTGTAAATACATTTGCATGCCGGGTAAATAATCATGAATAAATATTTAAGGTAGCTTTTATACAAAATTTATATTCTTGGGAACTTACATTCATAAGATATGTTGTTGTTTTTCGGCAGAGCCATGTAGGATTGAATTGAGATTCCCTGGGAAACCCCCCATGTTATAACGACACACTAGCTATAGGCCACGCCACTAATAGGGGCTCCTTATCCCATTGGCAAGTAAATCGGTTAATATAAAAGCAAAGTGGTTTGGAGTTTAAAGTAAGTTTGATTTGTTAAAGCCGTTTAAGTTTTGGGATTTATTGTGTCTTTTGACTCATACAGGATTGATTAACAACACTATGAAAGCTTGGTTTAGATATGAACTAGCCACACTGTGATCATGTAATTTGGTACCCACAACTCAAAATGGCGCCGAACTACACCCCTCCACTTCAATATATCATTTGTCACAATATCTTATGCTTTCTATCTCTTAACGATTACATGATCTCTAGGTGACACAAGAAAGATACGGAATCCACATATTTGTACCATATTCTGCTTGATATATGAGTAGGCGATAGAAACTTGTAATACACACATTTGTGAGTTATCTCCCCTGTTGATTGTTCAATATGGTTATCACTAATAAGTAAATCATAAAATGTGTATTTTCTTTTTGGTGCAATTGTTAAGATCTTTGATATCCATTCATCTCATCATATGAAACAGCTATTTAAACTTAAAACCACCTACATCAATACTCTGCCTTTTATCGTTTTTAAAGATGTTTCTTGTAAATTTATTATTTGCATTTATGCCTGAAGGTAATACATATTGATGACATATACATATATATATATATATATATATATATATAGATATCATAAATACTCATAATGCAGTTTGAAGGGAAATATTCAATGTCATGAAATTAACTTCCTGATTTCAAGTACTAAAAAGAAAAAAAAAAGAACAAGCCGTAGTTAAATTTTTTCCATGACACATCTCAAAATGGTATAGATAATCTTTAATCATGCTTTTTTTGGAATAATTATAAGTGAACAGTCTAAAAACAAGCTGAATCTCATCAGTCGTATTCCATGCATTTGATCTTTATTTTTGTCAATGTGTCCACTTCCATTGATCGTTACAAATTTCTGCCAAGCTTTTGGACATTTCCCCAAGTAAAATTCCTGCCATCAATTTTTCATTGGTAACACTAATTGCAAACTTAGCAGGAATTTTCTTCCACCAGCACTTTTAACTACGGTAGTTTTTTTTAACTTTGGAGGAAATGGGTGAGGCTTCATTACTGTAACGGCTACCGTCCCCCTAAATAATCATGGAATGGGTTAAATGAATGGATCATACAAATTCATTTTTTATTTTGGGTGTGACTGGATGAAATTTTGCAGAATATCGACATGATGTTCAAGGGAAAATACTTGAGTTACTGTCATATTAAAGGAACTCAATCCAGGTTTCTGTACTTTTTGTTTATAATGAAGAATCAATGTATAATTTTCCTGTATTTTTTTGTTATACATTTACAACGTTTACAGAAAGTTTGAAAGGTTTCAAAATCTATTTTCTAATTATATTTATATTGATTTTTGTTTATTATATATTAGAGTTTTGCCTTTATCAAAACAGACAGAAAACAAATCTGAATCTTATTGGGAATGGGAATAATATTCAGCCCCCAATAACGGACGGGAATATCCTGATTAATCATATAAACATGTTCTAAGCAATTCAGGTAACTTGTTCTGTTTAACTTTGTTTCTAGGTGTTAGCAAGTTCGAAACAAATCTAACCAGAACAAAATCAGTAAGACATTATTGCCCCTGCTCTAATGCAAATTAGTGGCATTGCATGACATATTTCTATAAATAGTAGCAGTTACCTTGACCTAAGAACCCTGATACACACACTCATTTGAGGTATTATCATGCCTGACCCTTGCTTAAAGTTTAATAAAAATTCATTCACAAATGAAGTTGCTAGAATGATGATATTGGCTGACAAACTATAAATAATATGTGACCTTGACCTTGGCATTGACCTTGAACCCAGAAATACAAGTGATTGTGAGGTATTCTCCTACTTAACCATTGTATAATGTTTGGTATTAACTCATTCAGTCCTGAAATTTCATAATGAACTATTCCAACCTTTGAATCAGAAGAGTTCAAATGTATCTTCAGGGGTGAAAGAGTTAAATTCCCTACAGCAATGACATGTAACTAGGATAGGACGCTGCTGATGTGGCTCACACTAACTCTTTCAACCCTATGCAACTTAAGTAAGCTCTACCATGCATTGATCTGGATGAGTCCAATATGGTCTACAGTGGTGAATGAGTTAACATACTCAATATGCTTCCCCTCCCCACTCAATTTTAAATATAAATTAAAAATGATTTTATCAGGATATCAGAACTGATCTTCTTTTATATACAAACAACCTCTGGAATGCAATAAATAACTTGTAATATATTCAACAAACTCCTAGAGCAGTATATACATTATGTTTATACATTTATTATCTGACATTATACTGTTGGCATGTAAATTTGACATCAAATTCTGAAGATGAAGTTTCATATTTCCAAAAATATGCAGCATAATCAGATTTCATTAACTCAATATTCACCCCTTAAATTTCATTCTGAACTATTCCAACCTTTGAATTGGAAGAGTTCAAATGTATCTTCAGGGGTGAATGAGTTAATTTAAAGACATATTGATATACAAGTGAAGAGTTTAGTCATTTCTGTTTTACTGACACCAGCTTCACAAGGTTTAACATGTTGTAGGTGTAATTTTGTTATATCTTACTAAATCTTCTTAATATGGAGTCCAGTAAGATTTAGTACTTCTATCCCAGCCTATACTAATATTTCTAGAACTCTATTTATAAACTTCTAACCAATATCTGTTGACAGTTAGATATCAGAATTTATCACATAATGTACTGTGCTATCCAGTGAATATACTCATGTCATATTTTAAGACGTATTAGGCCATGTAATATGACCTGTCACCCTGTGATTGGTTGTAAGTTTCAATTGTTTCAATTGTGACGTCTCGCCTAGGACAAGTACATGACATCACAGACTTACGCACTGGAGTCAAAATGGCGGCTTTTTACATTTTAGGGTTGCATGAAAATTGCCGTTTTATGCGAATAAATGCAACAAATATTGATTATGTGATAAAAAAGATCCTACACTCATTTTCATTTCATATGAAATTTATGAAACTCATCATGGATTTTTCATTTTAGCTCGCCAATTCTTGAGACTCGATTTATAAATCTCATATGAAATGGAAACTCATGCAAGATCCTATATATGTAATTTAGGATGCATCACCAACTTATCCCATGATGTCCCTATACACAAAGCTTGATGCCAATTCATGATACAGCAGCTGAGATAGGCTCCCAGCAAACTAGTAATTTAGTATATAGTTTATAGGAAGTATCATGCTGTAGGGATTTTTGCAAAGAATATTCTGTCTGGTCCTTCAAGTACTTTATACATTACAATCATGCATAATACGTCATAAATATCTGTAAATAGTCGATAGTGTGTGTAGCCAAAGACACTCGCTGGTAAAACTTGTTACTCCTAGCACAACTAGTAGATTTAATTCTATCAAAGAAAATTATTAAAAAGCAATTATTCATAAAAAATCCATATCATTTATCTATCAAAGAATACAAAGCAACTATTCATCAGCAAATATCTATATAAACTCATTCACCCCGGATGACATATTTGAACTCTTTCAATTCAAAGGTTGGAATAGTTCATTATCAAACTTAAGGGGGGAAATGAGAACAGCTACTTGGTCAAAGAGGAATATTTGTAAGCACTTTTTTAGATATTTTTAAAATTTCACTACAGGTTTCTCTCCCATTACATAAAAAAATAGCCACGTAAGATTTCACGTAAATCAACAGATACTTTCATCACCAGTTTATGAATTTTTAAACTATCAATTTTCCAAGTTTCTATTTCAGAATATGTTTTTTTTTTATATTATACAGAATACTTCTGTAAAATAATTCACATCATCTATCGCTCTTAAAGAATTTAATAAATACAATTCATCAATTGAATTGAAATAAAACGTACTTGATTACAAATTGTAATGTCATATTTAACATACAGAATAGTGTTATCCTTTTTGTATATGATGATATCAATCATTTTCAAATTTTAATCATTGAAAAATCAGGTATATATATAAATTAATGTATAGTTAGGTAGGTCAGCGAGTCAGCAGCAGGCAAAGCAAGGTGCTTAAGAAAAGCAGGTAAGGTAGATAACTCTGTATACACAGACAGATTTCTTACCCACTATCTAAATCAGGGCTGCAATTCAGAAGCATAATGTGCAAAATATATATATATATAAATATTTCATATTGATCAATATTACATAAAAGGGGTAAGAAAATACAACATTAAATGTGTAAACTGGAAAATCATGAACAATTGAAATTTGATAATATGAAGGAAATTGCACCTTTAACTCATTCACCCCTGAAACTTCATAATGAACTTTTCCAACCTTTGAATGGGAAGAGTTCAAATGTATCTTCAGGGGTGAATGAGTTAACTCGTAAAACATACACTCCCAATAGGTACAGGATCTGAATGACCTAATTTTCAGTAAATCCCTTTTTGTGTTTCTGCTCTCACAAGTTCCTATTGCAATTTTTTAAGTCAATTAAAGGTAATAGCTGCGTGAACTTGTGTGTTACCTCAACACAAAACATTTATAGTAACGAAGATTCGAAAAGTCTTCATGCTTTCCCAGTTTACAATAAAAAAGGTAAATAAAGCAATATTCTGAGTGTGACAAGATAAGACATTATGTATATATATATACATGTATATATCATCTTGCTCTGTTTAAAATGGGTGCTACATTTGTGTTATACCAGGTACAAATTTCAGTCAGTCATGTAAATTAAAAGTATTTATTATCAGGGAAACAGATACTTTGTTGTCCTCTCTATATAACGCTGGCCAACGTCTCATTCTGGCCACTAAAAGCTCCTCAAAGTAAAATATGGCTCGCTCAAAAAATTTCAGATTGGCTAACTATTACATGTACCAATAAATCCACAAATAATTACATACTTGAAACATGTTCCTCAAGTGTTACTTTTGAACTTTTCACTTCAATTCAAATTCTTGGTTCTCATTGGAAACAATTAACATTCATTCTAAAAATATATAACTTTAACTTTTAACTGTGTGGTTTGTAACAAGCTCAGTGATTGGTCTAAATTACAATTCTAACCAATGAAAATATTGGTTATATAATAGGCTAAGATATCCAAATATTTACATCCAAGATTTTTCTTTTAAATCAATGTACATGTCTGTTTAATTGACAAGAATACATTATTTGCAATGGATTTTAGGAATACATATATGATGAGAAATGGCCAATAATTTGGTCTGGTCAATAACCCTATAAACCATATATAATCTACATTCAACTCCCTGTTAGGGTGTATTATTCAGCTATCCTATTGAATTTTCTTGGTCCTCAATATCTAATCTCAATAATTCTAGAAATAATACTCATGCTCTAAGATCAGTTGCAAACCACAATTTTCAGTTACCAAAACCTAGAATAAATACTCCTAAACGAACTTTCAGTTATTCTGGACCTGAAATATGGAATCAACTTCCTATTGAAATCAAGACTGCCAGCAATCTTTCAGAATTCAAAGTAAAATGGCACGAATATTGTAAACAAGTATCTGTCTAACTATCTTCATACATTTATGTACTATTATGAATATTATTGAGTGCATGTTGATTATTGATTGTTTTGTTGTTATACATTGTATATTCATCTATGTTTGTGTACCTCTTTAAAGAGGACCTCATGGGAGATTGGCCGTTATTGTTTGCTATAAATGAGTTGTACCCTCTAAAAATAAAATATTATTTTTATTATCTATTACAGATAACACTAAAGAAGTTACTGTTTGGTGTCGTCGGGTTTAAAACTACTCTGATTTACACTTAGTCTTTAAATGCAAAATAACATGAAAAAAAATAATAGCAGAAAGTGTATATAACGTAATTTTTACATCATTATTAGTACAAGGCACTTAATAAACCAAAGAGAAAAAATGTTAGTAAATGAGATTATTTCCTTTAAAAACAAAAAAATGACCAATATGTACCTTTTCTGGCCAAGTCTTCGGTTCATGTTACGACTATGCCGTGCTTTTCCATCTCCATCTTCTACACCTACAGCAGAAAAACAAAACATACACCATTAGAGGGCAATAATCTTAATGTAGAACCAATTTCATATGTATTTACAATTACCACAATTTTAGCACTGAATCTCCATCAATATATAAAGTTTTGTACTGATATAAATGTGTTTGAACTTTTATTTCACAATGATTATGTTTTCCAAGCTTATATAAATTAATTTTGTTGGGCCAGAGAGAAGGGGGCAGAGGGTCTTAATGTGGGAGGGAACTGGAAAACCCAGAAAAAAAATATCTTTTTGTTTCTCTTGGTAACCCTGAAACTTAAGTCATTGAAGGTATTCTCATACTTGACCAATAAATTAAGTTTCATCAAAATCCATTAAGAAAGTTGTTACAAAAGAGATGACAATAAAATCTATAAATAGTAATAAACTCCCTTGAAGTATTCACAAGCTTCATCAACGTATGAAATTTGATCAAAATGCTTTCAGAAATGAAGTAACTATAATAATGACAAAGATTTTCCATAAATAACAATGATGACCTTGACCTTGGCACCCTGCAACAGGAAATTGTTTGAGGTATTTTCATATTTGATCAACATATGAAGTTTACCTGAATTTGTGCAGGAACAAAGTTGCTAATTAAGAGCAATTACAAAATATGAACATGCAAGGCACCAGCTTTACAGAATGCATTACCCCTTCGACAACCTCAACGCCATGCATATCAATCTCCCCAGCACTCAGATTTTCTGCTCATGGGATACAAATCTCCTTGGGAGAGCTCGTTTGCTAATGAGAATAATTCCCTTTGGATAGGTCACTCACTTATTGGCATAATTCCCTTGGGAGGGCTCATCCGCTAATAAGAATAACTTCCTAGGGAGAGCTCAATGCCAGCTAATCAGAATACCCTCCTAGGGAGAGCTCAATGCCCGCTAATCAGAATAACCTCCTACGGAGAGCTCAATGCCAACTAATCAGAATTACCTCCTTGGGAGAGCTCAATGCCAGCTAATCAAAATAACCTCCTTGGGAGAGCTCAATGCCAACTAATCAGAATAACCTCCTAGGAAAAGCTCAATGCCCGCTAATCAGAATACCCTCCTAGGGAGAGCTCATTGCCAACTAATCAGAATAACCTCCTAGGAAAAGCTCAATGCCCACTAATCAGAGTATCATCCTAGGGAGAGCTCAATGCCTACTAATCAGAATAACCTCCTAGGGAGAGCTCAATGCCCGCTAATCAGAATAACCTCCTTGGGAGAGCTTAATGCCAGCTAATCAAAATAACCTCCTTGGGAGAGCTCAATGCCAACTAATCAGAATAACCTTCTAGGAAAAGCTCAATGCCTGCTAATCAGAATACCCCCCTAGGGAGAGTTCAATGCCAACTAATCAGAATAACCTCCTAGGAAAAGCCCAATGCCCACTAATCAGAATATCCTCCTAGGGAGAGCACAATGCCTACTAATCAGAATAACCTCCTAGGGAGAGCTCAATGCCAACTAATCAGAATAACCTCCTAGGAAAAGCTCAATGCCTACTAATCAGAATAACCTTCTAGGAAAAGCTCAATGCCTACTAATCAGAATAACCTCCTTGGGAGAGCTCAATGCCAACTAATCAGAATAACCTTCTAGGAAAAGCTCAATGCCTACCAATCAGAATAACCTCCTTGGGAGAGCTCAATGCCAAATAATCAGAATAACCTCCTAGGAAAAGCTCAATGCCTACTAATCAGAATAACCTCCTATGAAAAGCTCAATGCCTACTAATCAGAATAACCTCTTTGGGAGAGCTCAATGCCAACTAATCAGAATAACCTTCTAGGAAAAGCTCAATGCCTGCTAATCAGAATACCCCCCCGAGGGAGAGTTCAATGCCAACTAATCAGAATAACCTCCTAGGAAAAGCTCAATGCCCTCTAATCAGAATATCCTCCTAGGGAGAGCACAATGCCTACTAATCAGAATAACCTCCTAGGGAGAGCTCAATGCCCACTAATAAAAATAACCTCTTTGGGATAGCTCAATGCCCACTAATCAGAATAAACTCTTTGGGAGAGCTCAATGCCAGCTAATCAAAATAACCTCCTTGGGAGAGCTCAATGCCAACTAATCAGAATAACCTTCTTGGGAGAGCTCAAGGCCCACTAATCAGAATAACCTCCTAGGGAGAGCTCAATGCCCACTAATCAGAATAACCTCCTAGGGAGAGCTCAATGCCCACTAATCAAAATAACCTCTTTGGGATAGCTCAATGCCCACTAATCAGAATAACCTCTTTGGGAGAGCTCAATGCCAGCTAATCAAAATAACCTCCTTGGGAGAGCTCAATGCCCACTAATCAGAATAACCTCCTAGGAAAAGCTAAATGCCCACTAATCAGAATACCCTCCTAGGGAGAGCTCAATGCCTACTAATCAGAATAACCTTCTTGGGAGAGCTCAATACCCACTAATCAGAATAACCTCCTAGGGAGAGCTCAATGCCCACTAATCAAAATAACCTCTTTGGGAGAGCTCAATGCCAAATAATCAGAATAACCTCCTAGGAAAAGCTCAAGGCCTGCTAATCAGAATACCCTCCTAGGGATAGCTCAATGCCCACTAATCAAAATAACCTCTTTGGTAGAGCTCAATGCCAACTAATCAGAATAACCTTCTTGGGAGAGCTCAATGCCCACTAATCAGAATAACCTCCTAGGGAGAGCTCAATGCCCACTAATCAAAATAACCTCTTTGGGAGAGCTCAATGCCCACTAATCAGAATAACCTCTTTGGGAAAGCTCAATGCCAATCAAAATAACCTCCTTGGGAGAGCTCAATGCCCACTAATCAGAATAACCTTCTAGGGAAAGCAGTTGGAACAGTTACATTACAAGAGATGCCAGGAGGATAATCCAAATTAAAATGCTTTCTATAAAGATAAAAATGATTGGTGTAAGTTGCATGCTTATATTTTTATCATCACAAAAGTCATGGAAATCACTGACCTTTAAAGTCATATTACTTTAAGGAAACATTGATATACAATATGTGCCCTTGTAGAAGAAGTTTTTAGGAAAATTCTTTAATGTCTATAAATCTATTTCAAAAATTTCTGAAACACCAATCTTTTTAGGGCCCTATACATGGATGCATATCAATATACCAGGTTTACATAAGTAGTGGATGGTGTTGATTAATAGTAAATTAATAACTGCATTCAAATCCACCTTATTTTGTGTTCTCGTTCTGGACTCACAGTCAGTCTATAAATACCCTGAATGGTTGGTAGTGATGGGCCACTGGTTTTAAATCATAATCGAATATCGGTGCATAATCTTATGGGACTAAACACCCAAATAAAGTGAGAATACACTATCACGTAACTATCCAGGTGTTTCACATGGACAACTAACCAACATGGAATTTTTACCTTATAAAATCCATTCATGTCAGAACAAAAAATTTCATAATAAGCGGGGTCCCATCTTTGCCCATATCATAATAAACAATTATTTTTTTTGCTTAGTTAAAGAAAAAAAAATCTGTACATGGGAAAAATATCATAATAAGCGATATATCATAATAAGTGGGTTCCACTGTATTACTATTACATCAATAGACCGACTTGTACACTATACACTAAGTTTTTAAATATAAGTTGACATAACTTGTTTCCTAATTGTTGTTAATTAAATAAATAAAGTTTATACTATACCAGGTTTTGTTCTTTTATAATGTATGGATTTCAAGCAATTTTCATGCAGTTTTATTAAGCATACACATATGTAGCCAAAACCGTAAGAATACATGACTTTCAATACATTTTTTTTACATTTAAAATATTTAACACTTTGATTTTAATGAAGAACTGATTATATTGATAACAGAATTTCTTATCAATAATCGGAATCAGAAAGGACAAACTCATCAATTTTCAATTATAATGGATCATCAGCCCATCTCTAATTGTTTGAGTCCCTGATTTTATGTAACAACAATGTCTTACCTGGATCTCCAACTAACTCATATAGAGCCTCATTTTCATCACTGCTGAGGTCACTGCTCGGCCAATCCTTGGCATGACGACGACTTAACGCATCGTTATATTCTTGTTCGCTTCCAGAATCCCTGATACTTCCTGTACTAAATGCACGTACACGTCCAGAATTTATCTCCTTGGCAAACTTCTTCACATTAGGTATTGGTCCTGTCTCTTTCAGAACTAACTGGGTTGCATCCCTAGGAGAGATGGGCGGTGATGGTGGACACTCAAAAGAATTTTTACGCTCTAACACAATACTTTTGGCTCTTGATAGAGGTTTCTTAAATTCAATTTTTGGATCCGACATTTTTCGTTCGGGAGTTGTGCTTCCACTTTTTGATATTTCTTCAAAATTGCCCATGATCTTTTTGAAGTTACCTGGTTCCAATTTCCTGATTGTGCGTTGTTTTATCTTTAGTATGTCACTACTGCTCGTGCTCGGTAAACTACTAGAGCTGCGGCTACTGATGTCACTTCCTGTATCAGACAGATCTGACGATCGGCGTTGGAGACTTGAAGCGGCAACTCTCGTTTCCCAAGCAGGTGCCATTTTGTTGCTATTTATATCTGTTTTACCTGGTTTATTGACACCTGCTGCCTTGGAAACTGTAAGTTGCTTTACTGTCCTGTCTGCTGGTTTGATGAAAGCTGTTCTTGACTTCATCACATTTGAGTTATCGCTAACATTAACTAAAACATCTCTTGCTGTTGGTTTCATTTTGGTTTGGAATTTACTGACTAGTTGCTGACTTTTATCTAACCAGTCGGGCTTCGTGTCACCACTAGAGGTCTTTATAACATCCGTTTTTTTCCCTCCTCGCGTTTGACCAGTATGACTCTCTGATTGGCTGGTGCTGAACGTGGTGACTTCCTCACGAGATCTTATAGTTTTATTAATACCCGGTTTTTTTGACACACTGGTTGTCACAATTTTCGTTTCCGTGACGATGGTCCTTGGGCTGCCCGGTCTCTTCACTCCCGTTTCCATGGTTTTTGTAACAGTCTTTGTTTCTACCCTATTTCCTCTGTGTTCCACTTTTCCTGTTCCAAGGAGTGCATCAAGCTTTTTTATAGAAGATGAATCCAACTGCACGAGATCTGTGGATGTATTAGATCGAGGACTACTAGTGGAACTCCCTATTGAATCACTACTAGACTGTCTACTATGTGAAGAAATTTTCTTACTCAATAGAGATTTACTATCATCACTTTTCTTCGGTGAAAATGAAAGACCAAATTCCATCGGTGCACTTGAAGATGATGCAAATTTTTTCCCGATTTTTGGGGATCCACTACTCTCAGAGTTGGTTGAGAAAGGTTTGCTCTTTGTGTTAAAGTTTCTACTTGCTGTTGTAGTCGTACTTTCCACCTTACTGAAGCCATTGTTAGATTTCTCTACGGTCCGACTGGAGAATGTTGTACGTTCATCCTTCTTGCCTCCACTACCAGGTCTTATCCTTAGCATCGCCAGTTGTCCGGTCAGTAGATTACTGGCCTGGACCTTGTCTACGGGGTCATCCGAAGACCCCTGTCTCTGGACACGGTTCTCCACTGTCGCGGTGTAAGTATTGCTGTCCTGACGGGTGAACACTTTTCCGACTGCAATCTGGGCCCCATCGTTGTCATCCTGCGTATCTTGTCTTAACTTTTCTTCAATCTTTGTTTTTCGCTCAGAAGATCCACGGCTTGCAACATTCGTTTTAAGACCACTTTCTCCGTGTCTTTCCAACTTTGTTGTCTGGCTTAGCTTTCCTTTGTCAAACGAGCTACTGTTGCTTTTCTTGGCTGAATAATCTGTACCGAACTCTCTTCGTTTGGTCACAGGGGACCGAACTGTTTTGTTTGAAACTTGGTCTTTTTTCTCATCATTATCATCGAAACGTGCTTTCAGATCTGTGAACTTTTTAGGGGGTCCTGAGACGCTCGATTTCTTTCCTGCAGAAGCATTTGAAGCTGCAGGCTTAAAATTACGGTCCGTGGGCTTTCCAGCACCAGTCGATTTCAAAGTGACACCAAACTTATTCTCCATTGTTTATAACCATTAGTGATGATTTATGTTCATAATGGTTGGGGAGATTTTATCATGATGCTAAATTTGATAATTTGTTGTGATCAATATTTGGTTCACTTTCGGAATCCTCCGGTAGATCCATTGTTTTGGTTGATTTGTGTAGATTCCCTTCTGTAGATCTAACTTCCAAATAACGGTAAATTTTGTTATTGAGGTATTTTTAGCGACATCTTAGCTCAGTTTTCAATGGCAATCTAGACATCTGATGAATTACCTGAAAGATAAGAAAATTGATGAAATTAATAAAACATCAAGACAAATATCTATACAGTGTAATGTTTGGTAAATATTACATGCTATATATGAGTGCCAATTGTCTGATCCAATTGTGAAACTTCTGAAACTGTTCCAGATTAACTCATTCACCCCTGAAGACACATTTAATTTGAACTCTTCCATTTCAACGGTTGGAATAGTTCATCACGAAATTTCATGGGTGAGTGAGGTAAATACCAACCTTTTTCTGAACTACAACACTGTCAGGTCAGCAAGGGCCCTGCCTTGTGCCTGACTACCCCCCGCCCCCCTCCAGTCTATTTTTAGTAACAGTAAGCTTTACCTTGACCTCAAAGTCTTTTAAAATCCCTCTTGCCCATCTACATTGATCACAGTATATCACCATATCAAATTTGAAAAAGATATAACTTTTGGAGATTATGAACATGCCCCCCGTGGATTATTTTTAGTAACAGTAACCTTGACCTTTGATTTCTTTTAACCCGTATTGCACATCTTCATTTCACAGTGTACATGTATCACAATGTCAAATGTCAGATAGATTTGTCTTTCAGTTTCCCAGATAATCTCTGGAAATTAAAGTGTGGACGGATGGACGAACAGACAGACTAAGACAGACACTGTGATGACTATTTGGAACCCACATCTCTGATGCAGGGCCCTACTAATTACTCCAACTCCTACCCCTAAATAACATATGATTGTTCATTATTATCCAATCATTTCTGTTGTAACTCTTCATACCTATATAATAATCATTCAAATAAGAAGCCCGGGCCTGTGGTGGGGGCTATAAAGGTGTCCATGTCTAGTGAAAACTATTGTGTTTTGTGTATAAAAGCTGAGGCATCCTGATCAGGATTCAGAGATTTTAGACTTGAACTAGATTTGAGGCCAGCTTTGAACAACATGAAAACACTGGTAACTTATAGAATCTTCCCCTACCTTGAGAGTGTGACAGAGAAATCTCCAACCAGGGGGGTACCGGTGATTGGTTATTTTTTTGTTGTCTAACCTGAGGGTCTGCCGAGGATTAGACAACCCCAAAAAATCACCCCTCACGTTTAAGATTTCTCCGTTTCACCCTCAAGGTAGGGGATGATTATTTTTCTCCCATCCTATTATTTCAGTCACAACTCCGTCGACAGTAATCTGTCATGTTTGTAAACAATAACACACGTGGGGTATGAATATCGTCATTCAGTTTTGATGACGTCACAATTATCGACGACACGTTTAAATGATGTCACAATTGAAGACGTGCTAATCGGCACGATGCTACCTCCCCCTAAGGGGGTGACAAGCTGATCATGATCTGTCCCGGCTAAAACGGGAGACACACCTGTGAAGGGTGGTAGAAAACCTGATCAACAAAATGATGTCTACTTAGGAACATCTTTATACAAACATGAATGTCCCCATCCACACAATGTCTATATGGCTACATATCTATATATATTATACAAACATGAATGTCCCCATCCACACAATGTCTATATGGCTACATATCTATATATATTATAAAAACATGAATGTCCCCATCCACACAATGTCTATATGGCTACATATCAATATATATTATAAAAACATGAATGTCCCCATCCACACAATGTCTATATGGCTACATATCATGATAGTTTGATATTTTAATATTAAACTATAGTTTATATACAATGAGTTTGCCTTGCTGCCTATGTTTTCTGTTTTCTGTAATGTAGGTCGTATGTATTTATGTAGTTGCCAATTAGCATGTATGTTAATGAGAGTAGAGGGATGCTGCTGATTGACCAATCAGCGTCTGCCTGAGGGAATGCCCTGTTAGGGATTTGGAGCCCCCACAGCATAGTTTTCTGAATCATTGAAGGAGATTGTTGTGCATTATTTCTCGGCTTTTCAAGTTTAAAATTCCTTGAAAAACTAACGAACATCCTTGGATTTACCTGTGTAATATAGTCACTAACGATATTTGGCTAAAAAGGACACCCTAATAGCTACAGTTAAGGTCTATCTTGGTTACCGTAACCTCTTTGGACTTTCCTCCCGAGGAGTTGGAAGTGTTATCGCCATCTTGGAACGTACTTTGTAACATGATTTCTCAAGTGTTTCTGTTCGTACTAGCCTCCCCGCAACTGTTTATGTGACGTGTTTCCTTTAAACCACGCCTGAGTGCTTCGTATAGACCTACCGACGATGTGTACGCTGTGCCTTCGTGATTAAACTTTGTGCTGTTTACGTAACTGTACAGAATACTTTGTTACTATCGTCGAAGACGTTTTGTTTACAATGGGCAGGAATACGAGGCCTGTGCCGTACGACCCTGGATTATTCTCTCAACGTTCCGTTTATGTTTTGATCTCGGCGTATGGGGTTAGTTAAGAAGTTACGGGAAGCGAGAACTTCTGCCCCAGTTGCAAAGTTTACGGGAAGCGAGAACTTCTGCCCCAGTCGCACATCACAGGAGAGTTGCGGTATACCATAATGCATCGCGGCAAGATGGCGGACAGGAAGTTTCACGAGAGTCTGTAACAACAAACACCACTGCATATCAACACGAATCCGAGTCGTCGAGTAGTAATAACCATTTACTCTTTGGTACAAGCTTAACAGATAGTGTAGCTACACTACAGGAGTGCTATCAGCGACTGGAAATAGAATAGACTCCCAATCCAGGCTTCCAGTGGCAGCAGCCGCCGGTAGCGAGAGAGGGACTGATGGCCAC